CTTGCAATGGCCTTTTGCAATTGGCAAACTCTGTTATCACTTTGTGACATAGTAACCCAAATAATTATGGTCAAAATCATCACCGGCTTCTTTTAAAAGCTGTTGTTATTCCATGGGTTGCTAAATAATTTAAGTTAAAGCACATACCTGTTTTCGAATCAGCATTATTATTTCTCTTGACTCTATCATTGGAATCCAATTCCATATATGCCCCTCTTTCAAAACCTTCTAATATTGTTTTGCATGTATTAACACGCTTTCTTTTAGGGTCTGTTTGGGTAGCACCCAAACCATGGTTTGGGGACCCAAACCATGGTTTGGGGAATAATCTACCCAAACACCCCCTCTTAAAACCAAAACCATGGTTTTGGGTCAAAACCATGGTTTGGAAAAAGCAAAATTTTTTGCTTTTGGAGAAAGAAGGGAGAGTGTGAGGGCCTATATGATATGTATCTTGTTATTTTTTTTATAAACATATTTTTTATAAATATATTTAATCTTATATTTTATAAATATATATACACATTAATTATTTATTAATTAATTATCTTATGTATTATTAATTATGTTGGTAAAAAACATGTATTAACAATTTTATTCCTTCAAATTAAATATATCATAAAATCTATTTTTTCTGTAATTATCATATTAACTTATGTCTTTTTTTTAGTAATTTGTATATATAAAAAGTGCTTCTGATAACAACTATCCAAACACTCTCACTTCTCAGAATCACTTTTTACAAAATCTATTCTTCACAGAATCTATTTTCCCCAGAATCTATTCTCCAAAATCACTTTTTCCAAACCACGTTTGGTTTCATCCAAACACACCCTTAGTTCCACATAAACCCAAATCTTCTCCACTTTCTTCAACTTTTGAGTAGTGCCTTCTTGCTGCTGCTTCATCATATAGTGTTTCTTTTTCTTGGTTCAAATCACTCTTAAGCAACTTTAATGCCAAAGTCAATCTTTCTTTATCGCTGTCAAACTGCATTTTATTTATATGATCTATTTGACTAAGTTTTTGCAAATCACATAGAGCACTTAAAGATATTCATCCGGTTCTAAATATAAGACCCATTTCACAGTAAAAATTTTACTATAAAATGGGTCTTATATTTAGAACCGAGGAATAATAATTAAGCAAGTGAATATACCTGAAATGGTGGCTTTTTCCTCACATAATTATCCAGCTGTTGCATATTATTAATAACAAATACCCCACAATCATATCTACATATATTGAAGAAATACAACACATTTAGAATGAATACATGTTTTAACTAAGCTAATAATTTTAAATAAAAAAAGATCTCAAACTCACTTATTTGGCTGTAATGGAATATTGCTGGCCATTCTCCAGTGAAATTTTGTGAACATACCATCACCGAAAAGTCTATCCATGGCAAACAACTGCATGAAAAAGATTAATTCTGAGCACTTAAAAAGACTAGTCTATATATTAATTATATAAATGCCATAACTATATACATGCGACACTCACCAGTTTCTTTGTTGTTTTGTCACGTTCAGCTTTGTCTATAGATTGATGACACAGAGAATCCCAAATTTCAATTTCTTGGCTTTTCATATGAATAATATATAGATAATAATATTCAACATGAACAGGAATAAATATCTGTAACATGTGATGAAACAAATCAAATTGATCATATATAGACAAAAAGAGCAATCATTTTGATTAATGAATCATCAACTACAAGGAGACAAAAAGATAATATCTACCTTCTCACAATATACCAACTGAGGCATGTAGTTATCTTTGATATTATGTTCTTGAACAAAGTCAAGGAAGGAACTTAAATTAGCGCTGCTATCAAGTGCTGCATTCTACAAACAAAAGAATGATTAAATATTCTTGTCTAAACTCAAGAACTAACGTTGATATATATATATATATATATATATCACCATCATCATCCAATTGAAATTGGAATAAGAAATTACCGAAAACGTCACCGGAAGATACCAATTTAAATGTTTACTTTTGTTCCTCCTTTCAGTATTGGTCAAGATATCAGCAAAAATATCTATTACCTAAGAAAATAGAGAAATTGTTGAATATTAGTATAACTAAAACCTTCCTCACTAGTAACGAAATAGAAATAAGAGTCTATAAGAAAACACTCACCGATGAATTCAAATGCGTCTGCGGCCCAAGTGTGGTAAATTCAGATTGATTCAAAGATAAACGTGGCGGTGAAGAAAAAACTGTCCCACTGAGATCGAAGAAATTAGAACAGAAGATATGAGTGCTCTAAGCCCTTTTTAAAAATAAACAAATACACATTAAACGCTAATTAATACCGTGATTGTCCAAAAACATATTGGATCAACTGCAAGTCAGATTCATCCATCACCATATTGGAAACGTAAAAAGGGCCAACTTTAATCCTCCTCTCTTGATAATGCTGCCCATTTTCTGTGTGTATTTGTAATTGTGGGAGAGCTTTTATCCCTTCCCACATTTGTTTGGGGGACATGTAACAATCCAGCATTCTTTCATTTGGTTTGCCTAAACCTGTTTTAGGCATATAGTGCAATAATGAGTAACTTAAGTTGCGAAAGCCACCACACAAACTCAAAATTAATTGTGTTGGAGAGTATAATAGGCCTGCCGCCACACTCCGGTCCAAACCCAAGAGCAGCCTAATCACTTATTTGGTAACCTAGCTGTGAGACTCCTATTTTTGTTTGTATCGTTCCAATTTTGTCGGATTTTTTCCGAAGGAACTGTGACTACATTGGCTACTATTTCAAACTTATTGTCATCATAGGTTTTATTTATTTTATGATTATTCTAGGAGGATTATAAGAGATATCATTAGATTCAGTTTGATCCCGTTTTATTCTCCCTTCTTCCTTTTAGCAGCATCCAATGTCGATAACCGAAGTAAAGAGATAAAAACTAAAAATAAAGTTGAATTTTAATAAGAACACAGCTCTTTTTTAGGGATTTTAAGTTTATAATAAAATAACAAAATTCCATTCATTATATAATATCTTATAAAAACTTAATGAAATTATAAGTTTATAATATAAAAAATCTAAATTAGGTAATTTAAAAGAAATAATTTTAAGAATTTATCATTGTCACACCAATAATCCTGACTTTAATATAATTTTTTCTTCATAGAAAGCGCACTCATTAGGAGGTTTTAACCTTAATACTCTAAACTAGACAAAAATTAATCTCAAGTTTAAAGTAACTTTAGGAAAATAATATGTACTTGTTAAAATGCGTATGTGCATTTATAAATTTACCTATGAATTTGACCTAATAAATATAAGTAATTTGACCTAACTTTTATCATTTATAAATTACCAAGTATCAATATATATATATACAAACTCTTCAACCAAGCCATCTCCAAATATAGCTCACTATTGGCTCCACACCTAAATTACTGTTCACAGGCCATTATGAATGATATATATAGAGCCGGTAATATGAATTGAGCCCGTGAGCTCAACCCGCCAACAAGTGGCGGGTTGGGTTGATAAGAATTAGGATCATTTTAAAATGGAAGTTTTGAGCCTATAACCGTCAAGCCCAAACCCGCGGTGGGCTAACCCGTTTAACCTTTTTTTTTTTGTGCAAATTTTTCCCTTTGTCTCTCGGTCTCTACACTCTCGGCCCAGTCCACAGTCCAACAGTGAGCAATCCATGTCCAACACGGTCCCATTTTCACATTTTGCTTGCGTGTCGCACTCCTCCCAGACTCCCACTCTCCCAAACCCAGTCTCCCAGTTGCCCTCGGCCAATCCCAACTCCCAAGCCCCAAGATCTCCACTCTCTGTCTCTGCTTTGCACCTTTGCCCTAGCTCACGAGTGATGATTGAGCATTTGATAGTTAATACTTGATGGTGATTTATGTAGTGACATTGTGTTTGTGACTTTGTGGTAGTGTTAATTTAGATTTATGTTTTAATTTGAGATGTTTGTTAAATTATTAAAGACATATCATGTTCATTTAATCATATGTTTAATATTTTGATATATTTGAAACTTGAAACTTGAAACTTTGGATGGATTCCATGTTTTATTTATGATAATTTCTATTTGTATGTTTTATTTTCGGTATTTAAGAATTAGAAATTTTAAGTAGGTTTTATTAAAAAAAGTAAAAAAAATTACAAAATTTGGTGGGCTGGGTTGGAAAAATTCCAACCCGTCAGAAAGCGGTCCTAAAAAGCCCAGCCCGCCAAGCTTTAGGCCTGCCACGGGTTAACCCATAATCGGCGGGTTAGCTCATATTACCGGCTCTAGATATATGGCTTGCAAATAGGTTCTCGGGCTTTGTGTCCAGTGGCTCAGACAATTGGCTGCGTACAATGTTGTTTTAAAGGTTTTAAAACGCAGTAAAAAAGGTTTCGAGAATAAAACTCAAAATTATTTTGTGAAGGTTGGTTATGATTATTTTTCAAATTACTCCATATCCTTATAAGCTTTTTTTGAAAACAAAATATTAGCACAGTTTTATATTATTTGTTATAATATTGTACAATTTTTATTATGTAACTTTCTTTTCCTTATTTTAAATACAAAATGCACAAGATATTTTTTCTTAATCTTTTTAAAATATTTAAAAAATCAGAAGGAGAAAAAATATTTCTTTTAGGTTGTTGAATTTTTTTACAATTATTTCATATCCTCGTATTTAAAATTTAAATATTATAAATGTCAAATTTTAAAATTCAAAATTCAAATAACCTCGTGTTGCAGGCTCTACGATCTGAGAATTTTTTAAGTTTTAAATAATAGGTTTTGTTTTTTAAAAGACAAAATGGTTTAAATATTTATTAAATTATGGGAATCAATGTTTTAGAAGGAAAGAAATTTAAGAGATTAAAATTTATTATTTAAAATTTAAGAGATCAAAATTAAAATAAAAACAAATTTAAAGAAGAAAAAATTATATTAACCTAATATTTATTAATTTTCCCCTCCTGATTCCTGAATGTGGGGAGGGCGGCTGGTGAAACCCTCCATTATGTCCAACTCTGCTCTGCTTTCCTAATGGCTCGTCTTCTCCGAGTCGCTCAACGAAAGCTCTACGCTTTTTCGCCTTCGATTAGAACTCGGACGCGCGAGCTCTCGTGTCGCGTTCACTCACTAGATGTCATTTCAGCCTCTCTTCATCAAACCAGACCTTATGGAGCTCAGGCAATGGCTAAGTCGCCCTTTGAATCAAACATTTTAAGAATTCTTCGAAACGAGATCGAGTACCAGTCCGAGTACGCACCTCCAGAACAGGTTCACACTTCTTTCTTTTCTAAATTATGAATTTGCTGTTATTCTTGTGCAACTCTTTTCATTTAGTTGTTCATTTCCCCTCATTTTGAGGTTATAATTACTTGGAGTTGGTGTTAGTCTTCGAACTTTAACTATTGTGGACAATACTATTAATTTCTGAATCTGTGTCGATATGGGAGTCTTAACTGTAACTATTGTGGACAATACTATATTGTGCTTACTCAATCAGATGCCTTTGTATTTGAAGCCTGGCTAGATTTTCATATGTTATGATAGTTACTGGAAAGAAAACGACAACAATCGACGGAAGAGGGCTTAGGTTTAGATAATGCTGGGAATAAATCCATGCCTGGAGAGTTCATTAACTCTTACAGCAAATGGGAACAATTAATAGAGATTAGAGAATCCTGACATTATATAATTTGAAATTAAAAAGAAAGAGGTAATTGAAAAGAAAGGGGGAAAAAAAACTCCACTCAAGTTAGCAAACCGAAGTTGTGATCTGGGATTAATTGTACTAAAGTTCCATATTTTTACTCAACATAGGCTTTCGGTTGCTGGTTAGAGTGTGAGGAGTGGCATTACAGATCGACTAAGTTTTGGTTTCGAGTACTGTGTAGTGTGTATATTCATTTATTTGCTCACAAAACTTCCAACGGTTCATTTTGTGTGTCACTTTAAGTGTGTTTTTATAAATCGTTCATTAAATCATGCTCAATCTAATATTTTTAACCCCCCACCCTCCCGGGGGGGGGGGGAACCCTCATTCGTTTGCTTATCAATTGCTTCAGGTTTGAGGTATTTGGAGCTAATAATCATTACTCTTACCTTGTTATTTATTTTTGCTATATTATGTGTATGAAGCTTGGCAGTATTCTTGTTTTCTATATAGTTCCTAGAATGAGCACAACATTAATCAGTGAAAGAGGGTTAGATGATTCCTCGTTGAAATCTATGCCCTGAGAATTCGTTGACGTATTTGAGAAAATAAGAGAAATTTATACTGTGGAAAAGGTTTGGATGGTCAGAGATTTTAGAAAAGAAAGTCAAGAATAAAAGAACCCCATTCGGTTCAGCAAAACAGGGTATTGTTTGCAGCTCCATTTAAAGCACTTTTAAATCATAAAGGAACTTCTATGATTTTACTTAAAAGTTATTAATAGACTTGTTTGAAGTCACTCCATAAGTCCTTTAAATTCATAAAATTGTTTTGTTTGTTAGGATATTTATGTTTCTACATATTTTCAGATGGTTCTCTGATGATGTTGGGCTGGTTTCTTTGGTTTTGATGTTTGGTCTTCAAAACCAACTTAGATTTGGTCCAAAAGCATGGGAAAATATATTTTTGTTGTTAAATTTGAATATAAAATTTGCACTGTTTTGATTCCTTTTAGTTTTTATGGTCAGGGCATCCTTGGCTCTTCCTCTTAAAATTCTTATCAAGTGTGTATTTATGTATGACTTTTTGTTATATATTTTGTTAAAAGGAAATTTTATCTATAGCATAGAAAAATATTCTTCTTTACATGCCCCACACCCTCTCCTTCTCAAAATGCTTTGAAATAAAATCTCAATTTTGGACAACCTTGCTTGGTCTGATTTATTCTATGTTCTCCAAATTAAATAGTAGGAAGTGAAGGAACAAATATGAAAGAAAGTCATGATGAAGCTACAATTACTATACTGGTATAATCATGAAAATTGGGAGAGATTGTATAATGCTGGAAAAGAGATTTTAGTCATTTGATTTTCACATCAATATGTGTGATATATCGTTATATTCAATCTATCCTCATCCTTCTTGTATTTTGCGTATTCCCATTATAGTTCATCTTGTAAAGTATCCACATTGTAATAAAGCTTGTCTCATTAAAAAATGTCTTTTTTCTGAACAATGCAGCCTTTGACAAAATTCAATTCATTCATTGTTCAAGATCGACCAGGTGAGCAGTGGATTACAATGAAAGGGAGGTTTGGGGACAAAGAAGAAATAACAATTGAAGCTACCATCTTTGATGGTTATGCACAGGTTCCTAAGCTTGGAGATGACAGTGCTGGGGTGAATGTCCATCTTCACATTAGTCTACTCGTGGATATTTCAAAGGAGGAATGTGGCAGTGAATTGGAATTTGTTTGCTCAGCATGGCCAGAATCTTTAGAAATCCAAAGAGTTTACATATTAAGGCGTGATAGCGCGCAGGCCATACCTTACACGGGACCTGATTTCAGGTTTGGCATGTTAACGCCTTTACCTCTTGCGTATCGGTTGTTTTAAGCAAGTTTGAATCTGAAATTTAACAAATCCAAAACATTTATCAAGTGTTTTTTTATTGCTGATTTGAATTTTTTTTTTATATGAATTTGTTAGTAATTCTACTCTGGTTCAATTGCTGATTCAGGACTTTGAACACCGAAATTCAGAACAAATTTCTTGAGTACCTCAAGACAAGGGGGATAAATAATGAATTATGTGCTTTCTTGCATCAGTATATGGCTAACAAGGACAGAATTGAGCTTCTACGGTATCTGGGAAGTGTTAAGTCTTTTATAGAGAAATAGAAGGTTATCTTGGCCGGCAAGATGTGGTGTGAACACTTGATTTTGCCACTAATTTAGTTTCCTTAGATGAAAGTCATCGATCAACCTTTTCTTCCATAGTTGACTGTGTAAATACATGTCAAACAAGTTAAACAATGGAGCCCTGTATGTGCTATTTAGCTTGGAGATTCAGCAGAGAAGAAAATTTGGGCAATAATAAATAGAATTCTTTGTTAAGACTTGTGACTGTATTTTTGAGGTCAAGGAACTTATATTGGTGATTTTGCAAGATGGTTCTCTGGCTGCCCAATCATGTTTTCTCCTTTTTCTTTGGTAAACTCTCTTGTCCTGTTTTGTAACACTAACACATGTTGCATGCCCTTGAACTTTTCTTACCTTGTTATACCGGGGATCTGATAACCCTTGCTCTAAACTTCTAATTGGCATTTCAAACTGTCTAGTCACTATCAAAATCTCTTGATCATGCATAGATTCGTGTGCTGAAAGCATCTGTTTTCACTTTAGTGAGTTGTTCTAAATCAGGCAGGGCTTGCGCTGATGCATTTGTCATGGCTACAAAGGTAACCCCTAGTGAGTTTTTAACATAGCCACATGTTCAAAGTTTGAATCTAAGAGCACTAATTAAGCTAGTCCAGTTACTTGCCAGTTGAACTAAGCTACTCATTTTCTTACTAGCGGTAGCGGCATATTCAGGTTTTGTTTTGCTACCTAGGAACGGTTGCTTCTTTTGACGAACTGCTCTACATGTTCTTCATTGCTACTATTATGACAGGATATTGTGAAAGGGACAAAAGAAAAAAAACAGAAGACAAAAAACAAAACAAAACAAAACCTCGTTAATTCCCTTTCAAATTGCACTCATTTTATTAGTTCAAATGGCATGACAACGGATGCACGTCTAAATGAGTTTAAAATGTTTGTCCTTCAAATTCTTATTGTTTGTCCTTCAAATTGCACTCATTTTATTAGTTCAAAGAGGAAAGAAATTGTTCGGCTTGTTACTCGTATGTGCGATCTGGGGAAGAAAATTTAAATAATAAGCGAATTTGAATATTTGATTATACAAAGTTTAATAATTAATTACCACCCATAATGTTAATGGATTACTGGACTATGATTCAAAGTATCACGGTTGCTGGTTAAAAAAAGAAAGGATCACTTGGTTCACTTAATTTGCAATCTCACAATATATGTATGTGTGTATTAATATTTGATTTTTATCCAGGTTGTGATATACCTCGAAATATTTTTTCTCAAAAAAAAAAAAAAAAGGCAAAACCCCCTAAGCTTTTCAAAGAAGAAATATCTTTAATCGCAATCTATGGATAATTACATAAGTTTATTACTTGCAGATTATAGAAATTGTTATCAATATACTATTTCTGGTCTTAAATATAAAAATTAGTTGAATAATTCAAGTAGATTAAGAAAATAAGTTGATTTAGTTCTTTGTAATAAATAAGTGTTGTGTTTCTTAAAATATTCTTGCTAATCAAATATATTGGCTAGAACTACTATTATTAGAAGGACTATTTTAAAAAAAATTAATAAATATAAAAAACAAAATAAATTAAAATCCTATATTTAACATTAAAATAAAAGTTAAATAATATTTTATATTAAACACTGTATTCCTCTTGCTTTCTAGCATTGCTCCTCTGGATCCTGTTCCCCCGGGCCTATGGAAACAGACGGTCATAGTTCCATCTTTATACCCCAGAAAGGAAAGCATTGACCACAACTAATTAAAAAAAACAAAAAAACAGGGTTTACAATATCCTGTGCCTTGCAAGTTGCAGCACAAAACCCACTAACTAAGACGGGTGTTAATGATACTACTGAAAATTTATAACACGACCTGAATTATTTTAAATTATCCTATTTAATTATACATATCAGAATTATTTTTTAGTGAAATTTTTTATAATTAATAGAGATATTTTGAAGAAAATATTACAAATTTAAAAAACAAAATATATTGATATCTTATATTTATGAGGAAATTCAATATCCTAACTGAATCTTATATTTCATTGAGAGATTGGGTTATTCACAAACAACATTAAAGAGAGGCACACTAAATGCCCCAAGGGTCATTGATAACTTGGCATCAAGGGTCATTGATAACACATCGCAGCTGATTTCCCACCCTAATTAAGATGCATAATAATTGGGATTATGCTGGTCTGCATGAAGTGCACTCATCCCGTCTGAAGGCCTCATTTGCATGTAATAAAGGGGGCCATCTTATTCAAGTACATTCCGTGCAAGTTTGTGTATAGGTATAGAAAGAATAGGGTTTTTTGAAAAACTAATATTATAATACTTTCTTTTCTTAATATAAAAGTTAGGGACTTAATTTAGATAGATTAAAAAAATTAAAATTAATTAAGTTTATAATAGATATGTAGTGATTTTTTTAAACTACGTATTCTATTTAATCATGTCTATTGAAACAATCTTTTTGGTGAAAACTTTTTATAATTAATAGGGATATTTTAACAAAAATATTATAAATTTGAGAGATAAATTGAATTGATGTCTTATATTTATGACTAAATTTAATTTTTCAACTATCTCTTATATTAAGAACAAAAAATACTAATGATATTTCTTCTCGAGGCCTTGTAATTAAGAAATTCTTAAAAGTGTTTAGTGTTAGTGGAATAAAAGATGATTTAATTGCTAGGTAGTATTGGATATAATGACTAATTAATTGATAAAGGGAAGCAATATTAAGAGTGCTCAATTGTGTCCCGTTCCAATGTTTTGTTTTTCTTTCAATCATTTTGGAACGGGACCAAAACAGCATGAGATAAAATTATTTTAGGATAGGATGGGACGAGGATGCAAGACGGTAATGTCCCGTCTCGATTCCGTTCCAATATGTTATCTTTATTTTTAATTGTTATAAATTTATTTTATTTATCATTTTAATAATGTTTTGGTAATGATATCTATTAATTGTCTTTTTTTTTTATTTATAAGTTGTTTTGTATGAGTTACATGATATTCTTTGTGGTGAACATTTTAAGTTTGTTTATTTTTTGTCTCTTAAGATTACAAAAAATATTTTTTCCTTGGCATTGTTCTCTCCCTTTTATCTATTTTCTTCATATGGTTTTTATATTTCATGTATAGTTAGTTTCCAAATCAAAAAAGTAAAAAAAAAAAAGAATTAAAAAAAATGTGACGTTTTTGTCCCGTCCCAGCTATGTCCCATTCCACATGGGATGAAAAACCCATTCTATCCTTGTTATCATGATGGAACTGGAACGGGCTCATTCCTATCTGATCCAATCACATAAACACTCTTACGAGTAGTATATTAATAATAGTAAAGTAACAGTAGTAATAATAAACACGAACAATATTGAATACAACGGCTAATTACGCAAAAATAATGATAGTCTTAAAAGTTTAATTGGAAACTGAATAAACGCAGAGGTGTCATTGATCAGTTAATTTTCTTTCCATTTATTTACAAAAAGGCGGACAGCCTTTTCCTGTCAACTCTATTCTTGCTTGACTCCTTCCTTCAAGTGTCTGAGATTTTAAACTCTAAAAGATGTACAATAAAATCGCCCGCAATTTATAACTCCCTCCTGCCGGGTCAGACAACAACCCTAGATGATATTAAAGATTCAAGCTTTTTCTCTGTATCATGTTCCTTGAGAGGGCAGAAAGGAAGTGGATACAATGGCGGCTTCATAGTTTTTCCTAAACTCAAAGAAGACACTGCTTTTGTTAATAACTCATCTTCTTCCTTCTTCTCTGGCTTTCAAATCATCATTGTCTACCCGCTCTACTTATCTTCCAAACCTGAAGTAAAACTTGAGTAAGTCACTCTCTCTCGGTCCTTTTTATCTTTCAGATCTTGTAGTTTTAAAGTTACTTCCTTTTTTCTTTTTTGTTTTTTGTTTCTCGTTTCAGCCTTTCATTGTGATCTGATATTTGAAATGGGTTTCTTGCTTCTCTTTTGTTTCTTCTAGTTTAGCTTTGAACAGCACGATTCATTTACCCACACAGTTATATTGAAGGGTATTTGGAAGAATTTATGAGCTCCCGAAAGCGAATCTAAACTACTCCTCCGGTCCTTATTATAAGACCCAATTTGACTTTTTATTTGGTCCTAATTATAAGACCCAATCCATTTTGTCTCTTATATTTATGCATTTTTTTCCAAGATAATCCTTCTAATAATGATAGTTTTAGCCAATATACTTAATTAGCAAGGATATTTTAGGAATGACAACACTTATTTATTATAAATAACCAACTTAACTTACTTCCTTAATCTCCTCAAATAAGTCAATTGGGTCTTATAATTAGGACCGGAGGAGTATTTAGTTTGCTTTGATAGATGCATATAAAATTATGCTGAATACTGATTGATTTGTTTAATGAAGAAGTTGAAGCTGAGAATGTTATTAGAGGCAAAGAAAAGAGAACAATAGAAAAATTAAGATGTGATAAAAAAAATGAAAGGTCACTAAAACGTGGGATCAGGCGAAAAAATTGAAAAGACAAATCGAGTGTTGAAATATCATATTTACCAGACTAAGCTTAAGGGTGTTGAAACATGCTCGGATTCTCATAAAATCTGAGGATATTTTGACACCTTTGAGCTTAATCTGATAAATTTGACATTTTAACACTTCATTTAATTCGTTCTATCAATTTCTTAACTTGTTCTTACATTTTAGTGCATTTAATCTTCCACCACCTCTTAGTTTTTTCATTGTTATTTTTTCTCTTTCTCTGTATATAATAACATTTTCTCCGTTAATAAATCAAGATTCAACATAAATGCATATATCAAAACAGAAAACAAAATAAGTAGTTTAGATTAGTTTTTAAGAGCTCATTAATTTTTCTAAATACCCTTCAATATAACTCAATGAATTAGAAAAAAGAACAATAGAGAAGCCAGTGTCTGTGGATGGGAAGGCCAAAGAAAGAGGAAGAGCACCTCCTTGATTAACAGGGTATGAAATAATGTTATTTTAATTTTTAATTTTTAATTTAAACAATATAATGAAAGGAAAATGATGTTTGAGTCTCTTGTTGGATTATTTTTTATATTTTGAAGTAGATATTAAAGTGTGATAATCTCTTTTACAGAGACTCAAATGTCATTTTCCCCAAATTATCATAATTAAGAATGCATAAATGTATATTATGTTATTGTTTTGATAGTGAAGGTTTATTCACATGCAAGAGTTTGCCCATATTGAATCTGACATTTCCGTCTCATTAACTAAACTTATTACCATAAAATGTATATTC